AATGAGAGAGAGGAAAGCTGTTACACTCGTTACAAACCTTCATTTTCTCTTCTGTGTTTATTATTTTTATACAGCTGAAAGCCTGTTCTCAAAAAAAGAAAAAGGAATTGTTTTCACCTAGATTTTTTTTCCTCCAGCAAACCTGCCCAGTCTCCACTGGGTAGAGGTGCTGTTTTCTCGTAGTGATGTGAAGGTGTGAATAGTTCTTGCTTGAGCTGGCAATTACAGGCTGAGGCATATTAAAATTCCTCTCACTTTTCCTGTTTTGTGGGACTAAGGGCTTTAAATGTTTGTAATGGTGAGATAAATAATCTTTGCTAAGGAATTTCTAAGTAGCTCAATTGATAGGTGGTTTTTAATACTGCAAGTCTTCAACCTGCAGTGGTTACTGGACTTTAGTAAGCCTTGCTCTGCGAGTTGATACCCTGCCAACGGCAGCAGAGCAGGAAGGATAGGTACCTAAAGTACCTCGTGAGAGCCGCTGCCATCCCTGGCCACGCTGTTGTAACTGTAAATGATGTCATTTCAGTTTGCTGCTATCGGCCCAACAACTGCTGAAGCCATGGAAGCAGCAGGAGTCCCAGTGAGCTGTACTGCAGAGAGTCCGACTCCCCAAGCCCTCGCTGCTGGCATCCAAAAAGCTCTTCACTTGCAGAACTGCAGTTTATCCAAATAAGAGCACAGCACGCATTTGGAGGTCAACGTGGTGCTGTAGAAGGTTTTTCCCATTTTTCAGACCTGTTGTCCTGCAAGGAAGTTTTTTTTTTCAGGAATATGCAACACTGTCCGTGTCAGGGCCTGGCCTGAGAAGCTTGCGTCTAAGTAGCCAGGAAATCTAGAATTTGTCCAGCATCTCTTAAAGCCTCTAGCTATTCCCCTTTCCTCATGTGTGCAGTGTAAATATTTTACATGGGCATTCCTCGAAAACCGGTTGCGAGAGGCAATCTACATCAGTAATCTACATCAGAGTAGTACGAGTGAAGTAAGGTCAGCGTATCACCTCAGGTATCTCCTAGCACACCAGGGAAGGTTTTCATTTCTCTGTATAATCCGTGTCACATGCACATCTTCCTTTGTAGAAGAAAAGGATACTTAGAGTGAAGTATTTTCTGTTGTAAAGCTTCCTTGTTCGTTGTTCTGCTTTTCAAATATTTATATGAAAATAAAGATTGTAGATTCGCAACTTCTCCGTGAAGTTGCACTGTGTGGAGCCAATAGCAGGTCAGCTATTCCCACTAAGTAGCCTCACAGTACAGGGTGTTAAAAATGAGGTTTTGGTTTCTGTTCCTGTAATGAAGGAGGATTTATTAACAGAGAAATAAACTGGCTTATCATTGTTGATAATGGTGTTAGTTGTCTGTTTTGGATGCGGTTTATGCTCTATTTGTTTACCTGTGAAAGGAGCAAAAGTAATTGTATTTAGCACTAATGCTACCTTTGCTAAGGCCACGAAATTCGTAAAAGATTTAAATCAATTATAATCCTCAGGGAAGTCATTCATGGCGTTAGTACAGCGCTGAGGTTCAGAGAGTAACAGAGAAATCCTCATTTGCCCTAAGTTTCTGGTAGCTTAATTCTGAGTATACGACCTGAATTTCCAATTAGGCGAGATGCTGCCTACCTGGAGTAAGAGTTGATCTGAGGCCAGTTACGTTAATTCCGGGTTGCACATTTGGGTGCGTCGGGCAGACGGGGCAGGGTACGACGAGCACTTTGCTTTAGGAAGCAGTTCAATTTCTTGAGATGAAATAGAACCTCGGAAGGACACGAATTGCTGCAAGATAACGTTGAATGGGGGAGGAGCACTTCCTCACTGAAGGAGAACATCCTGTGGGATAGGGAATCGCCGTAGTAACTGGGTGTATGCAGGACCCTGTGGATTTGCCCCAGGGAAAGAAGGAAGAGGATGATTGCTGTGCCCAAGTGTTGACTTTGTCCCTGGTTTTGTGTCTTAAGATGATGGAAGTGAAGCTGTGGAACGTTCACCTTCAGCTGGGCAGTGGCATTGTAATGTAGAGCAGGCGGTACTGTTTGTCTCAAGTCAAAAATAAATCATAGCATGGTTTGGGTGGGAAGGGACCTTTAGAGGCCACCCAGCCCAACCCCCCTGCAGGAGCAGGGACACCTTGAACCACATCAGGTTGCTCACAGCCCAGGCCAACCTGGCCTGGAATGGTCCCAGGGATGGGGCCTCCACCCCCTCTCTGGGCAACCCCTGCCAGGGTTTCACCACCCTCACTGCAAAGAATTTCTGCCTTAGATCCAGGCTAAACCTCCCCTGCTTCAGTTTAAAGCCATCCCCCCTTGTCCTGTCCCAGCTGGCCCTACTAAATCCATGGCAGAGCGAGGATGCGGAAGCCTGTTCAAGTCCCCTGGGGTACCAGGCGCATCTCCGGTGTCTGAGGCAGAAGACAGATCCTCTCCGGCTGTGAGTGGTGCTGTGGGGAAGAGGAGGAGGGGAGCCAGGGCCCAGAGAAGAGGGCAAGGCGTGGCAGCAGAAGCCACCCTGGGCTCGTGCTCCCTCGCACTGCGCAGCAGACGCTCTGCTAGGGTGAGTTACACCTGGTCGATTCTCTCGCTCATCGGCTCAGGCCCACTGCTGCGGGTATTCCCGGCAGCCCAGCAGCGTCCTCGCCAAGGAACACACACGGCTCACGCTGAACACAACGCTACAAGACCAAAGGGCTCCAGCAGGAACTCTGGCTGCCCTACGTCTGCCGCATCATAACGCGCGCGCTGCCTCGGCCTGTGGCGAACAGAAGGGAACGCGAAGACTCGATCTGCAGTCGAAGGGGTTGAGCTACGCGAGGCATAGCTGGCATTTGCTGGGGGCTGCAGAGGCCACCAACTCAGCTGATACGGTGCCTGCACCTGAACTTCAGCCACCTTGGTTGTCAGGGAGAAACGCTGGCTTGAAAAATAGCAGTTCGAAAAGATCAGCTCTGGACCTTGGCTCAGGGTCATCCTTGGTATTTGGGTACAGGCAGAAAAGGGCATGGAAATGGAGCCCTTGGATGGCTTTTTATCCCTTCCCAGCCCGAGCAGCTCGGCTTTAGCCAAGCGACCCTTCCACAGCTGGAGGAGAGCGTGCGCCCCGCTCCCGCCTTGGTGACACCCCCGTCATCAAGAAGCAGGAGACGTTCTCCCTCCTGCCCCACCGCCGCCACCAACCCGAGAGGGCACAAGCCTTTCCTTCGTAAGCAATGTGGCATTTACAGCCCCCCTGCTATTTGACTCAGGGAGGGACTGTAAAAATATTACGTTTTGTTACGAGGGAGCGAGGTTACACAACTTCCCCCAAACGCCCAGGGCGCAGCCTGGTGCTGGGTGGGGGAGCTCACGCAGAGGTGGGGGCCCAGCACCCCCTGGTCTCTGCAAGCAGCTGCTCCCGAAAGCAGCAGGGGCAGGGATGGGGTAAAGGGTATTTTCTTTTGGCTACTTTTTACAGCACTCTGTTAAGCGCTGCCTTGCAGGCATGGATGCCAGGAAGATGCACTCAGGCAGGCCCCATCTCTTCTAAAAAAGCCCCTTGAGGCACCTGCTTCAGTCCAGGAGGAGCAGCCCTTACTCTCCCCGCAGACGCTCTGCTTGGGGACCCTCAGGCCCATCCCTCGTGACTGCCGTGAGACCCGCAGCAGCGCAGCAAGGGGAGGGCTCCGGCTGGGGGTCCCCTGACCTCAGGAACCCAGCCCTTGCTGTTCTCCCACCAGGGATCTCCCCCCTCTCTGCCCCCCAGCAGTCGCCCTTAGTGCCCCCTCAGCTCCTCTGCCCCGGAGAAGAGACTGTGCTGTGAACGCTCCTTCGTGGCCAGGCTTCCTGGCAACCCTGCGCATAGCGCTGTCGGCACCTTCCTTCATCCTCCACAGCTTTGACCTCCCCAAAAGCAGGGAGAGCGCGAGGGGTGCAGTGTGGAGCCAGCCCCCAGCTGCAAGGCAGGGAGAGACACAGAAACCCCAGCCCCCCCCCGGTGCCTTTTTCAACTCCGTCCCTCCAGAGCAGCAGCGACAGGACTGACCCGTGTGACGCCACCATCTGTCATCCCTCCGCAACGCTTCCCCCCGCTGCATTCGTGCCCTGTGTTGCAACAGAAGGGTCGGGGGGCTCCTGAGGGCAGAGCTAAGGGTGCACTCGTAAAACCAGGCCTACGGTGGCAGGAGAGAAATGTCTACAAACTGGGAGTTTTGTCTGGGTTGGTTTTTTTTGGTTTTTTCAGTTTTTGTTTTTACAAAACTCTCACCCCCTGAGAGCAAGGCTCACCTCAAAGCGAGCAGCGTGAATTGTTATATTTAACACACAAGCTGTGAATCAGAAAGATTAAAGAAATAAATCTATGCATACATATACACATGTAAGAACTGTTAATACCTGTAAGTAATGTTTTATACTGTTACTACACAATAATGAGCCACATTTATTTGTAGAAAACCACTACTAAACCTGTACTGTAACTAATATACACTAGTATTTGTATTTTCAGAAATATAACATGTATTAGTTAAAGTCTTCCAAAAAATACCATCACATCTATCCAAAAACCAGAGTCCCCTCAAGCTGAGATTAAGGCTGCCCCCTCAGGCGTTAGGGCTGATGTTACAGATTTTCTCCAGCCCCCTCCCCCCCACCACCCCTCAAAAAGTTTTAATTCTGCTGAGCAGTTTGCCTCTCTGATGAGGGTCAGAACAGCCATTACCAATTAAAACAAGGCAGACTGATGTGTGAGTTTATATTTAATAAATAAATTTTTATTTAAAAATACACTCTCATTTATTCACAGTTTCAAATCTGCAAAAAAGAGAACACTATTCTTGATCAATTCAAACGCAGCCAAACCCATTCACTCCCTGGGGGAAAGGAAAGCCCAGCGACAGCCCAGCTCGCAGCTAGGAAGGCACACAGTGTGGTGCAGGACAGGGACTGGAATACCAGCCCTGCGGCCGCGCGGCCCGGGCGGCAGCACCCGCTTCCTTGTAGGAGGGTGGTTCGTGGTACTGGTTACAGTGTTACTAAGTGTAGTTCATTAAATACCAAACCAGAGCAACTGTGAGATTACATTTTTATGCAAAAAAGCCCATTACCTGTAAGAGAAAAAAAAAAAAAAAATCATGAACTTCTCCACAGGGGAAAACTGTTACCTGGCTATCCAGAACCCCAACCTGGTGTTTCAAAGGGGAACGCCAGGAACCCAACCACGACAGCGTTACCGCAGGGTAAGCGGGAATTCCTGTCCTCTCCCAGATGCGCAGGGTAACAGCGTAGGCGACATCATCACCTTCGATAAATACAAATCCCACGTGGGAAAAGCCACCACCGACCCCATGCGCAGCAAGGCACCATTTCTGCTGCTTTGCAGCCGTTCAGTCACTGAATTCCTCCGCTGCCAGCTTCGTTACCTTGAGCCAGCTGCTCCAGTAAGTTTAAGATCACCTCTGTTCGTCCTAGCAGAGTCGTGCTTTTGTTAGCAGTCGCACGCAACAGCAGGGAGTAAACTTGCTTGTTTGTTTTAAGAACAGCTTCTTCTTCATTAATGCCCCTGAAAGGAAAACAGACAACACAAACTACTACCCTGACCACACTATTTTATGCTGCAAATTATCAAAACAATTATGAAATAACAGCATTGATGACAATCCCCGCGAGGCCACATGGCTGGGGTTTTGAGTCTCTTGGGTCCTCAGTTCCCGTTTTCCTACAGTTTCTCAGCGCTGCAGTCAGAGCCCCTGTTTATTCTGCAGGAGGGATAAGGCGTTCCAATTTTTATTCGGCTGCAGTCTGACCATTTTATGGACTCATGATCCCCAGGCGCATCGTAAACCCCCCCAAATGCAGCTCACCGTGCCAGAGCTCCATACTTCTGTCTAAGTCGGTGTCTGATCCAATCACACCAAATGCAAACAGACTCCCGAGCACGCCGGAGACGGGGGCTGGCTGCTCCCGCGCCACTGCCCGCCCTTCGCTCTCCCCTCTGAACCACGACGGGCATCGCTTCCCCGCTCAAGCCCAAAGCCCACGATCCGCCCTCACCCTCTCAGCTCCACGCGTCCAAGCTGTTTCCTGACAATCCAGACTCCTCCAAGCTCGATACCTCGGCACAGAAGAGCTTCTCCTCTTTTGCCTGTCTGCAGCCTAAGCCCCCACCAGTTTTCTCAAGTTGACAAATACCATCATCAGTCACTTGTCAGACACGTGCTGGCATTCTGCCTCAGCGCCGTCACCCCTCCTCTGCTACATTTCATGCCCAAGACCAATAAATAAGTGACCCAAACTAGAAAAAATAAAAATAAAAAGCCGCTAACATTGATTTTATAAATAAATCGTGTATGTGCGCAAGCAGCAGTCAGTTTAATTGCAAATGCTTCAGGAATTACCCAGAGATGGTGAAGCAAATTAAATTCATAACGCTTGGCAGAAATCGGGCAGGTTTATTTATTAAACAGAACAGGTAGTCAATAAAAAGCCAGTGAAATGCAAAGTATTTCCAGGATAAGTTGCAGGAATTCCCAGAACGAAGTATTACTTTCAATTACTTCTTTCCCCCGATTTACATAGCCAAGTTCCGTTACGCTTCTGCATTTCACTTTCAGAGGCTAAAACTCCAATTTCATCCAGTTTTATTGTTAGTCTGCAAGTTTCGCTATCGAACATTAATTTT